CCTGTCTGTGACACACAGGCCCATTGTCTGTGCCACAACAGGCCTTGGTTCTTCACTTTTAATCCATCTCTGAAACAGCTCCAGGCAAGGGCTTTATCTGAACCTCTGCAGATTAAACTCAATGCTGGTGGCGGGAGGCAATCCCAGAATTGCAGACATGAGTTGCAGACATCATCTGAATCATCCCCTGCAGAGGATTCACTCAGTGAAACCAAGAGAGCTCACATTCTTGGTGGAACCAGGTGGGGTGAGAATGAAAAGGGCCACACACAGCTCTTCCTCCAGGGTCTACCTCCCTGGGCGGCCCCTCTTCTGCAAGTCAAAGGAGATGGTTTTTTCTTCTTAAAATGGGGGAAAGTATACACAATATACAGTTTAGACGTCTTAACCATTGGTGAGAGCATAGCTCAGTGGCGCTCAGGACAGTCACGGCACGGTGCACCACTGCCACCATCTTGCAAACCTGGCACTCTGTACCCACTCAACACTAACATCCCCGTGTCCCCTGCGCTGGCCTCTGGCAACCAGCCTTGTACGTTCTAGCTCTATGAGTCGGACTCCTCTAGGTGCTGCATATAAGTGGGACCACACTGCATTGGTCCTTTTGGGACGCGGGCTTGTTTCACTTGGCATGATAGCATCAGAGTTCACCCATGTCGCAGCATGTGTCACAATTTCCTTCCTTTTTAAGGCTGAAAAATATTCCATTGCATGTACAGAGTACATTTTGTTTTACTCATCTCTGGGTAGACACTGCGATTACCTCTATCTTTTGGCTGCTGTGAATAATGCTGTGAGCATAGGTGTGCCAACATCTCCCTGACACCTGGCTTTTTAATTCTTTTGGGTCTATGCCCAGCGTGGAATTGCTGGATCATATGGTAATTCTTTTTTTTTTTTTTTTTTTTTTTACATTTTGAGGAACATCCACACTGTTTTCCAGAGTGGTTGCTCCATTTTACATTCTCCCCAACAGTGCACGCAAGTTCCAATTTCTCCACATCCTCGTCAACACCTGTTACTTTGGGGTATGTGTGTGTGTGTGTGTGTATGTGCGCTTTAATAATAGCCACCCTAATGGGTGCAAAATAGTATCTTCTTGCAGTTTTGATTTGCATTTTTTAAAGACTTATGTATTTATTTGAGAGAGAGAGAGAGAGAAAATATAAGCAGGGAGGAGAGGCAGACAGAGAGAGAGAGAGAGAGAGAGAGAGAGAGAGAGAGATAAGCAGGCTCCCTGCTGAGCAGGAAGCTTGAGGTGGGGCTTCCCCCCAGGACCCCAGATTACAACCTGAGCCAAAAGCAGCCACTTAACTGAGCCACCAGGAGCCCTTGATTTGCATTTTCTTAAGTCAAAGTCATTTTGCACTTGAAACAGGTCTCATATAACCAAAGAATAACAATAATTAAAGAAAAAAGGCAGAGAGACACCAGGCTGGCTCAGTCAGTGGAGCACACAACTCTTGATTTTGAGGTCATGAGTTCGAGCCCCACGTTGGGCGTGGAGCCATCATACACACACGTACATACGTACATAGAGAAATACATTAAAAAAAAAAAAAAAGTAGGGGATCCCTGGGTGGTTCAGCGGTTTAGCACCTGCCTTCGGCCCAGGGCTTGATCCTGGAGACCTGGGATCAAATCCCACATCAGACTCCCTGAATGGAGCCTGCTTCTCCCTCTTCCTGTGTCTCTGCCTCTCTCTCTGTCTCTCATGAATAAATAAATCAATAAATAAATAAATCTTAAAAAAAAAAAAAAGTAGAACATGCCAGTGCTCCCACAATGCCATGTTGTCTAGAAGCACCATTTCCCTGACAGTCCGGCGGACAACCACATCCCCGTTTGTCACCCCAAAAGAGTATTAACAGTCCCTTGTAAAGAAATCTCAGCCCTGAACTGAAGGGAGAGAGCTTTAAAAACCCTGTTAGAGTGTACAGGTGTTGGCTATAAAGCATGCCAGTGTGCAAATAATTCTGAATGAGGCAGAGGCTCAATAAAACCTCATGTTTGTGGTAGCTCCAGCACTGGTCAGAGAAACGGCAGGCTGCCTTCTGTATATCAGAACCTGCCTACTGAGCCCAGGTCTGCCAGCAAGGCTGCAACCCTGTCCCTCTGCTCATTGTTAATTTGTCAAAACAGAACAAATACAGAAACTCTCTGTGCAACACAATTACCTCTGTCCTGCTTCAAACCAACGGGCGGAGGAGGGGGCGGGGGACGGAGGAGATATAAAATTAAACAGGACTGGCTCTGAGTTGTTAAGTGTTGATACAAGGTGATGGGAACATGGGGGTTTGTTTGATTTTGGTATTTCTTCCATTTCAAAAAGAAAAATTCTCTGATGACATAAGGCAGGCATGTGATCGTGTACGTTTCAGCAAACCCTGGGAGGCAGGCGACAGGCCTGTGACACCGACATTTCACAATGCAAACACGAACACTACACAGGATCACTCAGTGTGGGTGCAAGGCCAGACCAGCCCCTGCGTGGGGGCCTCCCACGGCACCCAACATGCGCTTTCTGGAGGGCTCAGCAGCCCACGTCTCGGGCCTCCCCCCACACTGAGCTCCTGTGCAGATGAGGAAAGCAAGTCGCTGCCAGGGACCCAGCAGGGAGGCGTCTGGGCCATCCTCCCAACCAAGCTCTCTCCTGCCTCGTTTTCCTGACTGTTCCTTCTCATCCCTTTGCACACTACTTGGGCCCCAGAGCACACTAGCTGAGAAGCGGACCCTGACCACATGCACTGTCAGTCCTGCGGAAGGCCGAGAACACAGCAGAACCCTTCAATCAAGCAGCCTTGCTGTGATTCCAGATGCAGAACCTCCACTCTGCCAATTGGGCTGCCCAGGTGTCATTAGTAGGCAAGCTGGTAAAGCTTCCCAAGAGCAAAGAATCTGTTCTTTAAAAAAAAAAAAAAAATTATTTATTTATTCATGAGAGACACACAGAGAGAGAGGCAGAGACAGGCAGAGAGAGAAGCAGGCTCCCTGCAGGGGACTCGATCCCGGGGCCCGGGAATCACACCCTGAGCCAAAGGCAGAAGCTCAACCACTGAGCCACCCAGGCATCCTGCAAAGAATCTGTTCTGCAAAGAATGTGAAGAAACGGAGATTAGCAGTGTCCTGCCCCAGCGACGGGAAGTTTTGCTCTCTCTGCAAAATTCGGGACGATCTTCAGGGGACAAGGCACAAGACCAAACAGGCACAGCCTGGGGGTGGGAGGGAACAACAGGACGGCCGGGTGTACCAGTGTCCAAAGTGTCAGACCGCCTGCCTAGGCCAGGGGGCCCTCCACCAGACACCTGGCCAGTGGGGGGGGCCTCCAGGTGTGGCCAGGGAGGGAGCAGGGCGGTCCGGAAGCCCTTCACTGCGGGGATGAGGCAGGCACAGGCCTCCCATTAAGAGAAGCCCGTGGAAACCATATCGAACGCCCTGTATTAATCTTGTTTCAAGGAAAATGATGAAGTTGCTGGTGACAGCTTGTTCAGGGACAGAAAAAGATGAGGAGTGAAAGGCCAAGCCACTGAATCCCACCTTGTTTCTCCAGGACAGAAAGCCCCCAAAACTTTGAGATAAATCATTAGGAGATGATGCTGTGAATAATCAATGGTGAAAGCTGAGAAGCCCCCGTAAGTCTGCTTTGTTTGCAAGAGTTCTGGCTCAAACGGACCGCGCCAACAGCCACAGTAGAAGCACAATGTGGCGTCACGGCCACTCGTCCTGTCCCTCCTTCTCCATATGCCCCCCCCCGCCCCCCAGAAGGTGACAAGCAATGCTTGCTGAAGATGCGCGATCACGTCCCCTCAGCCACCTGCACAGACTCTGCGTCTGCTTCTCCCGGGACGGATCACACCGGTGACACACACAGGCTGCGATACCTCCCCCGGTGCCCTGACCATCTCCGGCCAGTGCCCGGGTTTTCTGCTCTTCTTTAAGGCAGGAGTCCTTGGAAGAACTGTCCTGAGTCACAGTCTCCACTGGCTCGCATCCAAGGGGGTCTCCACCCCCCGGAGCACACGGCAGCCCCAGCCAGGGTCACCAACAACCTCCACTGTGTCAATGTCCATGCCGATTTTCCATCCTCATCCTGTGTCATTCCCACCCCCCACCCCCAACGGCACAGCTGACTGGTCCTCTCTATTTGAAAGGCTTCTCCAGCACCAAGTCTCCGGCCTTCCTACGGCCCACCTGCTCACAGCCAACACTGGAGTGCACTTTCCTCTTTAGGGTCACCTCTAGCACCCCAGGACCCCAGAGTCACACCTCTCCCCTTCTCAGTCTATAAGCCCCCTTCACGTCTCTGTTGTCACTTGTGTCCCCTCCCCCTGTACTCCCCATGCTCCAGCCCCATGGCCTTCTCTTGGCCCCTTGCACATGCCTAGTGCCCTTCCAGCCCGCAGCTTTCTTCCCAGACCCCCCACCCGCCACCTCTTCACTGATATTCTGGTCTCGCCTGCCGAAAGTCACCTCCCTGGAATGTCCTGCCCCGGACTCCCCAGCCAAGGAGCTTCTCCCTCCCTGCTCTGCTGCTCATCAGTAGGCTAGTGCCATTACTGATTAAACACAAGCACCGTAAGAAACGGCTTTACTGCCTTTGTCCACTCTTACCTCTCAGAGCCTAGAACAGGGCCTGGCCCACAGTCAAAGGTGCACGAGGCACCCTGCTGCCGATGTCTCGTTGGGAGCACTCCCAGGGCAGGGAAGGGGGAAAACAGACATGCACGTGGGCCGGAGCTCCAAGTGTTCCTGAATTTCCAAGGCTGGGGCGGGGGCCCGTTAACCCGGCTTTCGGTCACCCCGGCCTTCCTGTCACAGTACTTACCAGTCTACTTTATAACTAACCTGCCGCTGGTACTGCCAGGGCAGGGCTCATTAACCTTGCCTACCTTCTCCTCCAGAGCCTTGCAGGGGGCCTGGCACATCAACTCTACAGAAAGAATCACGATCTACTGAATAAAGGATGAAGTGAGGGAGCGAGGCCGCTCTCAGTGACTCACCCAGAAGACAATGTTGTAGCTGAAAAGGAGGTACTTGTACCAGCAGCTGACCTCGGCATTAGAGTATCTATAATAGTGCATCTTCCAAGAAGCGGGATCTGTGGACAGACATGGGAGTGATGAGAAACTCAGTTACATAACATCTCCCCCCAAACCCACTCCCCAAGAAAGAGCAAAGGTGAGGTTCACACACAGACTCCAGAAATCTCCAAAGTGTTTCTGTGTTCCTGCACGCGTCTAGGCATAGCTTTACTACCAGCGCCAGTGACATTCTGGGCAAAAATCATGTTAAGTCAACTCTCCAAAAACAGACAAAAAAAGAGAATTTTGAAAGAATGGAGGATGCCAATTTTTATTTCTTTTTTTTAAAGATTTTATTTATTTGAGAGAGAGAAAGAAAGCGTGAGCGAGAGAGAGAGAGAGAGAGCATGCAAGGGGAGTGGGGTGGGGGGTAACGGGAGAGGGAGAAGCAGGCTCCCTGCTGAACAAGGAGCCCCACGCGGGGCTCGATCCCTGGACCCCGGGATCATGACCTGAGCTGAAGGCAGGTGCTTCACCGACTGAGCCACCCAAGAGCCCTGAAGATGCCAATTTTCAAAGTGTCTCCTAGATACCAGGCCTTTCCAGACATTTATCTCATCACCTCTCCATTGGGTGTTGACTTCTCAACTTTTCAGTTAAGGAAAGAAGAGTTAGGAAGGAAGGTCATGGGATTTGCCCAAAGCTAAGACAAAAAAAAAAAAAAAAAAAATACTCGACGAGGCCCAGGATTTGAACCAAGGACAGGGGGTTCCACAGTCTACATCCCCTCCACCCAACCACTACCTGGGGTAGGACAGCCAGGGGTAGGGCGAGCCAATGGAGAAATGGAGACTTGACCACTGAGAGGGTGAGGAGAGGGGCAGATCCGACCAGGGCCTGGGAGTGACCTCCGTGGCCTGGCTGGAACATTACATCAACAAGTGATGACAAGCAGGGCCAGGAAAACCACATCCCTCTGGAAATGGGTGCTGTGACCGCTCAACCCTCCGGGTGCAGCACCAACAGGCACAGCAGGCCACGACACCACCACCCAGCTCACCTCCTCCCTTGGTGGGGGGGGCGCGGGAGGGTCTGGCCCCTGTGGTCTCAAAATCCAACTAGGAAGGGGACAGCAACCCAGTCACCACCCACCTCCCCACCCCCCTCCCCACCGTCAGCGCAGCACTTGCTCAAAGGTCCCTTCCAGGAAGGGAGCAGGAGGGCAAGCCCAGGTACCGAAGGACACCATGGGTCACAGGCCACACAGGAGGCCTCAAAGCAGCCTGGGCCACGCCGGGCAGCTGAAGGGGCCCCGCTCCTTCCTGGGGCCACACGAGCTGCCCCGGGCCGTTCCTGCCCTCCGGAAGCCCCAGCATCCTCACCTAGAACTGACCCTAGCGTCGCTGGTGTTGCGCCCAGCTGGCAGCATCAAAGGACTTACTCCAGACACACCTCGGGGCTCCACCCTCTGCAGGTTCTGCAGACTAGGTGCGGGGTGGGACCCAGAATCCGCATTTTTGACAAATTCCCCAGCAATTCTGACACGCAATCACGCCTAACATACCAGGCATCAGCCTGGGGCTCCTGCACAGGTAGAAGGCCCTGCTTGTGCGGCCAGCACATGGGCCAGGCCTGCGGGCAAGACAGCTCTCAGGAGGAAGCCAACCACATTTCACACATTACAAAAACCCCAGAACACTGGGTTTTTCTCCAACTACAGAGGCCTGTCTTCGTGCATAAAGACAAACACTTCTTTTAAACCTAAAACCCAGGTCAGTTTATCCCAGAGAACAGTCTGCTTGGACAGAAATGGCCTAGAAGGCAACACAATGCTCTAAATGGTGGAAACCCTGTTAGGGGCAAGACAGGCTGCTCCTTGGAATCATCCAGCACGACTCTTCACGGTCCCTAGAGAGGCCCAGGTGGGTGGCCGTACCCCCATGGAACTGGCCCCCCGACATGGGGGAGGGCTGCTCAGGCGCGGGCCTGCAGGTCAGGAGTCGAAGGAGGGTGCCCTGGACGGCTTCAGGCCACCGTGGTGAGGCTCTGGCTCTCAGGGCCCCGAAGCACTACACACAGCCCGACTCCCCCGGGAGACCCACTGATCAGCGCCCGTCTGTCCGTCTGTCTTCCGCAGCATTGGCACCCTCATCCCTGCCCCGGCTCGGGGCCTGTGGGAAAGAACCACCCTGAGGTGATTCAGGGACTTTCCCCCTGGAGACCCTTGTTCTCCAGCTCTGGCCTATTAACGGTGGAAAACACAGGCCGCAGGGACTTCATGGCCTGCAGGCTCTGGAGGGGGATCTCTCCTCCCTCACCACAGGTTTCACCCTCTCTCATGTGGTCCCAAAGGCCTCACCCCACAGACACACACAATTGCCCAGGAAAAGCTCTGCTTTCACAGACGTCAGGCTCCAAACCCACACCCAGAGAATCTCAGCAACCGGGACATAAACTCCCAGTCCTTATTTCCTGGAAACTGAGCCATCTGGAACGATGCTAGCCAGGTCCACACCGGGAAGGACTAGAAACACCCGCATCATACATGTACCACACTCCGACGCATCCCCTAAACACCTGCCAGGCCCATCCCAGAGCATTCACACAGGGCATCACACCATTTCTGTTGAACCAAGATAATTCTAGGAGGCCTGGGGGTGGGGATGTCCCAATGACACTATTTCCCCACCCAACTCACAAATGAGGAAACCGGGGAGGGGAAGCAGTTCAGTCTTTCTTCACCCACTTGTTTAGTCCTCCCCATGGGACAATAAGGCACTGAACTAACCACGAGGTGGGGAGAGTCACCCCACTTCCCTGCCCCCACGGAACCTAGGGAGCAGGAAGGAAAAAGCTGCCTCGGGCTCTTGCACGGCTCTCTACTCTGCTGGCCGGTGGGTGGAGAAGCAGATCCTAAACTGCAATGTCACCAAAAGATCCTGTCTCCATAGGGGCGCATCCCAGAGTATAAACTGAAGGAGGCAAGGGGAAGGTCTGTTTGAACCCCAGGCTGAGCCACATCTTCCCACACAGGGCCCTTTGGGTGGAGCCTCAGTTGGAGAAGGCCAGTGCTGAGCTCTAGAGGTCTGGCTCAGCGGCTTCACCCGCCTCAATGAAGGAAAAAGAACACACGGGTACACCTGAGGTGCCAACCTGAGAGTTACCCACAAAGAACCCCAAGGTGGACAAATGCACTGGGGCGACAACTAGAACCCAGATCTGACTCAACATTCAGCAGAAATGACTCCAAAGTGACTGTGTCCCTGACAGCTCACCGTATCTCCTAAACCAAGTTACATCAGAGGAAAGCAGAACTTAGATCCCCAGCAACAAATTCAATTCAAACCAAGGCCATTTAGGGGCACCTGCTGGCTCAGTCAGTAGAGCATACAACTTTTGATCTTGGGGTTGTAGGTTTGAACTCCATGCTGGGTGTAGAAATTATTAAAAATACCATCTTTTAAAAAGCAAACAAAAAAAACCCAATCAAGGCCATTAACCTTAAAATACACACACACACACACACACACATGCAAAGAATCTTATTTTAGCAAAATAACAAAATATCCTAAAAGATGGATCAACTTTTCACAAATACTAATTATCATTGCAACAGAGAAGATTCTCCAAAAGCTATTCTGTAGCTTTTGTATTATGTAGAAATACACAGAAAACCACCATCAGAAAAATTTAATTCCAAGCCCTCAAACTGTCTCCGTTCCAGAACTTATTAAAACAGAATAAAGCGTTTACATGGCAAATAGGAGACATGTTGTTTGTCAAAACATCAACTTCTCGAAACAAGGGGGAAGGTTAGAATCCTTTAACAGTGCTGAGAGAGCTGGCTAGCAGTCTGGGAGCTAACTAATAAGCCAAAATAAATCTAAATATTTAAGGTTGCAAGCACACACACACAACACAACACAGCATTTCAGGACATCGCCTTCACTTTTGAGCCAACAGGAAAAAATAAGAGTATTAAAATACCAATATGAAACAGTGTTCATATTCCCATACAATTAAAGGTAGCATTATCATAAAGGGAACACCAATGATGTCTTCAGCAGCTGCAGCGATTATGACGAAGGGTAAAAATCTACAATATATAAAAATCCATACTTAAAAGACTCCCAGCGTTAGACACGAGGGCAAAGGATATGGACATTATATGAAATGGAAGGACAATATAACTAACACACGGCAAAATAACCAACACATCCCCAGAAGTGAAACCTAAAAACAATCCAGAGACCCTAATTCATGTTACACTTTCCAACAAAATCACCATCGCTACTACTGGCAAGCCCATGGTGAGGACGGGCAAGTTCGTACCAGGTTGCTGGGATGCAGAGTAAACTGCTACTACCTTTGGGTAAGCGATTTGGTCACCATATTCAAAACCAAAAAACGAAAAAGTCACACCCTTAATCCAATAAAGTCATGACTAAGAATTTGCCTCCAGAAAATAAACCAACAGCGGAAAAAAAGAATACGCATTAAGTATGAAATCTGAACATCATGGTTTGCAATTATGGAACAATTTGTAACCATGCGGTTGAAGGCCAAAATGGAAAATAAAAGTATGGAAATGGTTGCATGGTGCGGTGGACTTCTAAGTGGTTCTGGAAAAACATCTCCAGTGTTGTACTTACCATGACCACCTCTGCAATGCAAACTGGCCATTGCTGGGGGGAGGGTGTGACAACCTCAGAGGTTACTAGCCCAACGTGATCACCTCTACTGGCATTATAGACAGGGCTGGTCTACCTTGGGATTATTTCAACCTGTACGATTCCTTCCTTCTCCCTCTCCCTGTTTATTTATTTATTTTTAAAGATTTTATTTATTGGAGAGAGAGAGTGTGTGTGCACGTAGCGAGGGGAGCACAAGGAGGGAGTCCTCAAGCAGACTCCGGGCTGAGCACAGAGTCCAACTGAGGGCTCGATGGATCCCAGGAGACCCTGAGGCCATGACCTGAGCTGAAACCAAGAGCTGGACACTTAACCAAATGAGCCACCCGGGCGTCCAAGCTCCGGCTTAAAAATAAAAATTGTTTATTTTTAATTAATAAAAAAAA